TCTCTCTCTCTCTCTCCCTCTCTCTCTCTCTCTCTCTCTCTCTCTCTCTCTCTCTCCTCTTCTCAAGTCTAGTTCACCTCCTACTATACCATTGCTGCCTCTCTTAGTAACCCAGCACCTCTAAAAGCTTGGAGAAAACTCTAATAGTCAGAAAGCTTTCCTCACACAAAGGCAGATCACTACCTTTCGACAATCATCACCGACTCAAGGCTCTGAATTCTGCCCTCTTGGGCCAATCCAAACAAGTTTTATCTCTCTTCCCCATAAGAGGCCATCAGCTACTTGAAGACAGCCATATTGTCCTCCCCCATCCCTTCTCTGCTCCAGGGCAAATATTCCAAGATGATCACATGGCAAAGCCTAGCTGGCTTTCACCTGATGGTATAAAGACCACTGGACTCTGAGTTAGAAGACCGAGGTTGGAGACTCCAGTATACCAGCCACGGGCAAATCACTTTGCCTGTCTGGGTGGGTTGAATGTGACTGTGGATGTGTAGGTAGCTGGATGCAATACTCAGAGCATAATTCTCCCATCAATAAAATGGATTTTGAGTTCTGGCTTCCGAGTTATAGGGACCTGAACTGCCTACCTCTCAGGGTGCTTGAGAGAGAAGAACTTTGTAAACTACATGTCAAGCTATAGGATCTCAAGCAAGTCATTTCATTTCAGCCTCATTTCCCTTATCTGCAAAATGGGCAAAATCTTGACTACAGGAAAGGATGATGGAAGTGTGAGCTATACTACTGGAGATGCAAAGGGAAATGAGTCAGCTGGGGAGTGGGCAGTCTCCAGGCCACTCCTGGATGGACAAAGTCATTAGCCTTCTTTCGAGAGTCCCTTACCCCTACTCCAAGTCTTTGACCGGGCCACTGACTGATGTGGTGTCCTCTCTCCTCCCACTTCCCTGTCCCTAGGCAGGAAAGATCAGGGCAGTTTAGCCACAAGTCTGGGTGCCTAGGCCGAGTCTGACCACTTTCCCTCCCTCTCAATCCACAAATCCTTCCCTTCCTCTGAGCACCACCCCTCCCTTTGCAGTATCAGCACACAGTCCTCCTACAGGGTGCTTGGGGCAAAGGAGGCGGGATGCAAAACCACGTGTTTTTTTTTTTTATTAGAAATGTCCTTGGTATAAAAACAATCATGCTCTACACATTGTCATCAATAATCATAAACATCCAGGCACTGAACTCTGTGTTGTTGGTGGGTGGGCGGGCGACTGGTCAGGTGGGTGGGCGGGCAGGACACACAGCAGACAGGCTTCAATCCGTGGGTTGGGTCACACAAATAGAGGCCACCAAGAGGACTCAGCACTTTGCAACACACTCGAGATTTGTTTTTGTTTTGGGGGTTTTTTGTTGTTTTTTTTTCCTTTTTCTTTTTTGCAACACATATGATTTGTTAAGTGGGGGTAGGGGAATGAAATAGGACAGAAATGAAGGAGGGAAGGAAAGACAGGAAAGCAAAAATGCAAAAGGAAGAGAGACAGAGGATCGGGAACAGTTGGAGAGAAACAGAAGGAGGGACAAAAAGTCAAGGAGATAAGGCGGCAAAGGAGGCAGAGAAGAGAGAAATCAAGAGCCAAAGACAGGACAGAGAGAGGGAAGGCAGGAAGAAGGACAGAGAAAGAAGAGAGACAACAAAGAGAGGGAAGGCAAGACAGGCAGAAACACAAAAAGACAGGCAGACACAAAGATATAAACTCACAGACTCACAGACTGAGTTGAACATTGAGTCCAAATCCCTCATTTTATGGAGGAGGAAACTGAGGCCCAGAGCAGGGTAGTAATATTGATAGATAAGTAGAAAGATTAAAAGGCAGAGAGAAGAAAGAGAAGGAAAAACTGAGAAAGGATGGAAGAGAGAGGGGGGAGAGGGAGAAAGAGGGAAAAAGGGAAAGAGAGAGACAGAAGAAGAGAGAGAGGAAAGTAAAGAGGGAGGGAGGAAGAGAAGGAAGGAGAGAGAGGGACAGAGGGAAAGAGAGAGAGAGAGAGAGAGAGAAACAGAAGGGGAACAAGAGAAGCCAATAGATTTGACACAACAGAATAGAACCTCCTATGGTTTGGGCAGGAAAGGACAGTTGGTCAAAGACCCTGGACCCAGGGGAGCCAAGCGGGGGCTTCCCCAGGACCCCCTCCTCCTGCTCCCTTGGCCTGGCTAGGGCCTGCACTGCTGCTGCCCCCCAGGCACTGGGGTTCTTGCTTTGTAAGCACCAAGCCTCCTCCCCAAGCTCCCAAGGCAATCAGGGAAACTCCTGGGGTGCCTGGAGATCACAAGAGATCAGAGCCCTGTCTGAACAGGAGACTCTACAAAGTTTCCATTCTCTCCTCCTCTTCTTCCTCCTCCTTCTCCTCAAAACCAGTAGCTGCAAGGAGCTCCAGCTAAATTGCATGGTTGGTGTAGGTAACATAGGTTTGTTTGGTTGCCAGAGCTGTCAGGGGAGAAAAAAAGAGACATTCATGGAAGTCACAGTGTTACCTCCATCCCTCCCTCCTCAGCCCTTCTCTGCCTCTCACTCTCCCTGCCGGTGACAATGGGGATGGACCACCGATCATCCAAAAAAGGCAGTGAGGTACAGTAGCCAGAGCCCTGGACTTGGAGTCAAACGTCATGGGTTTGAAATTGGCCTTAGACACTTGCAAGCTGAGTGACTGTAGACAAGTGCTGAGGTCCAGTTTTCTCAGTGGTGTATTGGGAAGATTCACTACCTACCTTACAGCATTGTTGTGAGAAAAGTATCATATCAATGTGAGTTATTACTGTCTCATTCTGTGGATGAGGAGACTGAGTCCAAAGACATTAAGAGGCTCAGCTGAAATTAGAACTCGGGTCCTCTGATACTAAATCCTTTGGTCATTCTACCTCACCATACTGCCTCCCTCAAGGTAGGCAACCAATCCAGGGAGGACCCGTATCCTTGGAGCAGGTGTTCTTAACCTCTCTTGTGTCACCAACCCTTCCCCCTTCCTTTTGGAGAAGCCTATGGACCCTTAATTCTCTTGAAATCAGACTCTAAAAAGCCAAGTTCATGGACCTCAGATAAAGAGCTACCTGGCACACCCTTAGGAAACTGTATGTTGGCCAAATACCCGAGGACTCCAGCCACAATTCTCCCCCATCCCAGGACCAGGCCTCTTATTCATCCTATACACTGCCATCACAAAGATAACATTAAACACATACCCCTTTCATCCCATCCAAGAACCTTTAAAGGCTCTCTATAACCTACCCTATCAAGGCTGAACACCACTCCTCCCCAATCCCTGGCTTTCAAGATCTTCCATCCTCTGGTCCTAACCTAATAACAGTAATGACAGCAGTTAATGTTTCTAGAGATCTCTAGGGTCTGTGAGGCACTCTGTTAGGTAGGGAGTGCAAGTATTATCAATCCCATTTTACAGGTGAGAAAACTGAGGATCAGGGATTTGAAGCAACTTTCTCAAGGTACAAGTAATAAGCATTTGAGCTAGGGATTTGAACCCAGGGTATTCCCCCCCCACATACATACACACACACACACACACACACACACACACACACACACACACACTCATTCACTCACTCACTCACTCCAGGTCCAGCTGTTAACTAGGCAACCTTCTTTCCAACCTTATTTCCCCATGACCTCTCAGGCTGTCCTCTTTACTACCAGTAGGCCACTCCCCTTCTTCACTATCCCATAGACCAGTTATGCTTCCTCCGTCTTCTGTAAAACGGTTTTCCTCTACTTCTCCACCTTGTCCAAGATACTACAAGTCACTGACTCATTTATAGGACATGTTTACCAGGTTCCTTTTCAAAATGGAAATAGACCACTCTGATGGGGAGGGGTCATGTACTTGTAAGGCAGGCCTTTCCTAAGCACATGAGAATGGGGGCACCAATATGGGGCAAAAACGGGGGGGGCGGGGGGCGGGCAAAAAAGGGAGGTAAGAATGAGCCAATGAAAAATCAATGCTTTCTTCACAATTTTTCCAAAACCCTGTCTTCCTCTGTGAACCAACGCCATTCTCACTTACAAATCACTCACTTTGAGTGTGTTTACTAGAGTACCCGCTTACCCCTGGGTGAACTGATAAAATTGAGTTTCTGAACCGGCAAAGCAGAGGGCCAGACCCTGGTGGACAGAAGTAACAGTTAAAACTCAGGAGCAGTCGCAGCAAAATCCCCACTGATGGGGCTGTAGGCAAGGATTGCAATGGATGACAGCTCACTAAATATGTAACTAGTAGGGTTCTGAGGGGCATGGGAGCAGGGACCACACTTCCAGCTGGGGCCTGGCCATCTCCAAATGCTTCAGGGTAGCTGGGCATTCTCAGAGGTTCAGGGAAATCCAAGGCCTCTAAACAGCTTTTGAGGGCCCTGTGCCACCATTTTAAAAATATGAACAGAGTGGAAATAAATGCGTAGCCCAGTCCCTATCCAAAGTGAGAAATAATGAGATTTTTTTTAATGTAAAAGAAAATCCTTTTCTAGTCTTTCTCTGTGCATACACAGAAATGATTGAGGGAGACGTTTAGCTCCATCTGTGCAATGGGAGAGCTGATGTTAGCAAAGCATTTCTTCATCAGTAAAACAAAGAGGTTAAACTAGCTGACCTTTGGTTCCTTCCAGCTCAAAATCTATGATTCCCTGATTCTCCAGTACGCCTTAAATGAGCTGAACTTTGAAATTGAACTTTGTCCCTTACAATGAGGAAATTCTGTGATCCTTCAGTTTTGTAATTCATACTAACACTCTTGCCCATTGCTTGAATGATCACAGATCTAGCTTTGGGGTGTGCTGGAGCCAGCTCATACCAGCTCCCGAACCCAGTCATTACATTTTACATCTCAGAAATAGGTAAAATCTACACATCTGAGATTTCCTTCTTTTAATTATTTCCTACTTAACCTATTCATAGCTTGTTTTGTGTATATTTGTTTGTATATTGTCTTTCCCATTAGACTGCAAGCTCCTTGAAGGCAAGGAGCAGCTAGGTGGCGCCACAGTGCATAGAGTGCCGGGCTTGGAGTCAGAAAGGCTCATCTTCCTGAGTTCAAATCTGAGCTCCCATGCTTACTAGTTGTGTGACCCTGGGTAAGTCACCTAACCTTGTTTTCCCCAGTTTCCCCACCTGTAAAATGAGCTGTAGAAGGAAATGGCAAACCATCTAGTGTCTAGTATCTACTATCTCTAGTCAAGAAAACCCCAAATGGGGTCATGAAGAGCCAGACATAATTGAAAAATGACTGAAACAACAGACAAGGGCAATGACTGTCTTTTGCTTCTTTTCGTATCCTCAGTGCCTAGCACAGGGCTTGGAACATAGTAGGTGCTTCATAAATGTTTATTGATTATTTTGTTGATTATATAGACTTAATAATGCAGATTAAATTTAAAAACGTGTCATGAGTACATTCTCCCCCATGAGGCTAACGGTTAAATATTGACCAGCATATCTTTGTGTTTAGTCCAACCCTCTCATTACAGAGATGAGGCAACACCATGCTTGACAGTAGTTCCATCCAAGTAACATTAGTAGCGTGTGACAGGCAGAATTTGAATCCAGGTCCTTGGACTCCAAAGCCAATAACCTTTCTACATTTCAACAGTTGTGAAACACCTATTCTGTGAAAATGGAATGGTGAGAGTTCATTGAACACTGATAGTCCTTGGTTTAAGAGTCAGAAAACCTCTTTTCAAGTCTGGCTCTAATACTTACTAAAGTGAAATAATATGACTTTGTAGAAAGAGCCCTGAATTGGGAGTCATAGACCTATTTTACAGACGAGAAAAGTGAGGCCTGGGAAGGTTAAATTATTTCCCCAAGGTCACAAAGGTACTAAACACTGGAGGCAGTATTTGAACTAAGGTCTTCTTGGATTGGACTTGGGCTAGAATTCTTATTCTGTTACCTAAGACTTATGAGACATTAAACAAATAACTTCTATTTGGTCTCCAGCTTCCTTACCTGTTAAACAGGCTCGACCAGAGGATTTCTAAGGTCCTTTCCAATGTTAAATTTTATGATCCTATGAAAACCATGGACAAATCATTTAAGCTCCCTAAGCCTCAGTTTCCTCATCTATAAAATAGGTGCAGTAATAACCTATCTCCCCCATCCATCTAAAATTGCCCACCTCATAGTGTTGTTGTTGTGAGGAAATTATCTAAACCTCAAGGCACAAAAGAAATGTGAATACTGATTACTACTATTATTAACTGTTAAATGTTCTGAAGTCCCTTTTGGGTTTGGGGTCCTGGCTCACTCCCTGCTCCTTTTCCCTGGTCTTCCTCTCTTCACCAAACAGATTGGTCCCAAGTGTGGTGATAAATCTATTAACTAAAGTTAAATTGGCATTCGGGGCAAGAGCTGGAGCACTGAATTTCCTCCAGGGAATGAGAATAGCAGCCACAGATAGGATAGTCCCTGATTCTAATTAATGTCCCTACCTCAAGTTTCTCCCCACTTCAATCCTCCCATTCTGCACTCAACTGCCTAAGTGATTTTCCTAAAACATAGGTCTGACCATGTCACCTCCCCTCTCCCCCCCACACCCTCAATAAACTCTGTTGGCACCCCATTGCCTCCAGGATCAAATATAAAATCCTATTTGACATTTAAGCTCTTTGTAACCTGTCAGTTTCCTACCTCTCCAGTCTTCTTACGCTTTACCCATCTCCACACACTTGACAGTTCAGTCATACTGGCCTAATTGCTGTTCTTGAAACACTCCTCTCCCGTCTTCTTGCCAGGGTACTGGCTGATATCCCGCCCCCTACCACCCTCATGCCCCCCATGTTCTGCTCTCTCATTTCCACCTCTTCAAGGGTTGGATCAAATGCCACCTTCCACAGGAAGCTTTTCTGGATCTCTCTATCCCCCACTGCTAGTGCCTTCCCTCCTGAGAGTGCCTCCTGTCTACTGAACATACATCCTGTATGAACCAAGTTATTTCTATGTTGTTTCCCCTATTAAAATGTGAACACCTTGAGGGAAGAGACTGTTTTTGCCTTTTCTTTGTTTGTTTGTTTGGTTGGTTTTTTTTTGGTGAGGCAATCAGGGTTAAGGGACTTGCCCAGGGTCACACAGCTAGTAAGTGTCAAGTGTCTGAGGCCTAATTTGAACTCAGGTCCTCCTGACTCCAAGGCCAGAGCTCTATCCACTGAGCCACCTAGCTGCCCCTTGCCTTTTTTTTTTTTTTTGTAACCCTAGAACTTAGCACAGTGCCTGGCTCTTAGTGGCACACAATAAATGCTTTTTGATTGGTCACACACGGTCTCAAGCTAACATGAGGAGTACAGGGGTGATCTCCCCACAGTCCCATCTACAGAAAGACAGAAGGTTCTTCCTTGAGAAAACTTAGCTGTGTAGCTGTAGAGTCTGAAGGCTTTCTCCCTGTCTGTCCAACGTTGAGAGCCCTTGGACTCTGAGGTTGAATGTGTTGTGAGAGGTACCAGCTTAGTGCTAGTGACTGGCTCCAGTCTCCATCTTGGGGGGTTCTCTGGGCCCCTTTCAGGGGAGGTTGGGAGGTGGAGGAGAGAGAGAGAACAGAGACAGAGAAAGAGAGAGGAAAGATAAGAAAGAGTAAAGAGAGACAGACAGAGAGAGAGAGAGAGAGAGGAGAAGGAGAAGATGAAGAAGAAGAGAAGAAGAAGAGAAGAAGAGAAGAAGAAGAAGAAAAGAAGAAGAAGAAGAGAAGGATGGAGAGCAGTGTCTGTGTGTGTGTGTGTGTGTCTGTGTATGTGTGCGTGGGCTCCCAGTCCTGAGTGAGCATTCCTGCTTCCTCATGTGCCTGCCATGTGCTCATACCCCACCCCATGCTGACAAATGACCCTTTATTGCAGACTTCAGATGCTGTTACCCTCAGATAACAATTAGACGGGCCATACAAAATTAGAGCTGACAGCCTCTATTTGTTAGCCCCCGTGTTTCCCTAGCCAATCTGCTGGCAATCCAGCTCTGTAAATTATTTATTCTGTTGTTTGTTTAAAGATACGTGGCCTGCCAGTGACAGAGTGAAAAATGTCCCTGCTCTCTAGGAGTGACAAGTCTGCCATCCCCACCCTCCCAGACTCTCCCCCCACTTCCCCAACCTTTCCCAGGATTAATCACCTGCCTGCCAGTTTCACCGTGAGAAGGGGGCTCTTGTCTCAAAGCTGCAGACTGGTCTCTTGGGCCCTTGGCCTCCCAATCTCTGCTGGCATGCAAGGGGAGGGAGAGATGGAAGGTGCCTAGCTCCCTTCCCTGGTCTCCATGTAGGTAGTAAGTTCCCTAAATCATGTAGGAAGTAGACACCTGGGAATTCAAACTTCTAAGTCTATTCCTTCCCCTGCTATTCCTTCCCCCACCTTATGTCCCAGTCTCCCAACCTGTAAAACTGATTCAGCAATGTTAAGCTGGAGCTGGGTGAATCTGAGCAGGGGCAGAGGATGGCTAAGATCACCCCAGGGCTCCTATGGGGGCCTAACCAGAGCTGACCCTATGGATAACACAACTCATGCAATCGTACATTAGAGGGATCACTGAGGAAACTCTCCTTATCCCATGTGTCTGCCACTTAACCTTGATTCACCCTTTTGGAATAAGACCTTATTTTCAGAAGATCCATGTAAAATGCATCTGTGTTAGCAGGGAGGGGGTGATGTGTTAACCTGAGGTAGAAGAGTGTGGGAGGTACCAGCCAAGTAGCACTGGCTGTCCATGTGTGGGGATCACGGGTTTCCCCATTACCATATGCAACACAGTATGTTGGAGTTGGGAGGAACTCAGAGATGATTTACTTTAAACTTCTCATTTTGCTGCAGAGAAAGTCAAGACCCAAAGGAAAAATAATTTGCTACAGGTCATTGGAGGGTTTGAGTTCTCAGATTAGCTGGCTGAGGGCATCTAGCAGAGCACAGGGGGGCTGAGAAAATGGGATACAGGCTACATGAGTTTTGGTTTGGAGACTGGGTGGTATAAGGAAGGTGGAGTAGGAGGGTAGATGGAAAGGGAGAGGAGACCTGGGAAAGGGCCAGGGCTCTGAGCAACTGGAGGTGGGGAGGATGAGAAGATGGAAAGTCTTTAAGTCAGAGCATTTAGAACTTAAAGATACCTTAATCAAAGACAGAGAATCTATAGGATCATAAACATATAGAAGTGACCTTAGAGATCATCTAGTGACCAGGAGTGGGGAACCTGCGGCCTTCTAGGTCCTTGGGTGCTGCCTTTTGACTCAGTCCAAGTTTTACTGAACAAATCCTTTTATTAAGAGGATTTGTTCTGTGAAGTTTGGATTCAGTCAAAGGGCCGCACTTGACGACCTAGAGAGCCACATGTGGCCTTGAGGCCCACCCCTGATTCTAGTCCAAATCCTTTTGATAAATGGAGAAATTGAAACCCAAAAGGTTATTAACAATAATTTTATCAATGATAATAACTTTAGAGAGGCAGCTATATTTATATAACACTTTATAAATATTATTCTATTTGCTACTCACAACAATATTGTGAAAGAGGTATGACTATTCTCCCTATTTTACAGATGAGGAAACTGAGGCAAGTTAAGTAAGTGGGCTTGCCCCTGGAGGTACAGCTAAGGATAAGCACCTAAAGGCAAGATTCAAACACTGGTCTCCCTGACTCCAAGTCTATCCCTCCTAGCACAGAGTTAGCCTTGGAGTCAAAGAAGGGCTGGGTTTGAATCCCGCCTTAGATGCCTAATAGCTGTGCAACTCTAGGTAAGCCACGTAAGCTCTCAAAACCACAGCTGCAGAACAGGTGCTAAGCTGCTCTGGTAAGAGGACTTTCTTCATTGGGAGTTGCATCCATCAGTGAAATCATAGGTCTAAATCCCTTCCAAGAAACCCCAAAACCTAGAACTCTCATTTCTATAGGACTTTTTAGCAGCCCCATTATGTAAGACCCGTGAGACTTCAAGCAATTAACTTATCCTTCCAGGTCTCCAGCTTCCTCATCTGTTAAATGAGCAGGCTCAACCAGAGGATTTCTCTGAGGATGCCCCCTACTTTTCTTACATCCCTCATGAAGTAAAAGGTCCCTCAGGTAGTGTCAGAGCTGGCATTCGAATTGGGGGCCCCTGACTTGGTTAGGGAGGTTGAGATGAGAACATAAGATAAAATACCTCTCTGGAGAGGAGGGAACTTCCCTAGGAGCACCCCTTCTGGGAAAGGTCAGGGCTCTAGGAGAGGAAAAGCAGGCCAGTAGTGATGTTCTGGGAGGACAGAGCAAGGAAAACGGGACTAGAGTTACTTAAAATCAGAGGGCGGGGGCTTTCATGCTGAACTAGAGAGGTCCTCCAATCAGTAGGACAGTGTTACTTAAAATCAGAGGGCAGGGGTCTTCCCTGGGTCAAAAGGCAGTAGTATGCTCCTCTTGGTAGGCAGGCAGGACTGCAAGATGAACAATAGAAAATTCAGGCATTGGGTATAGAAGAAAATTTACTTGACTGGGCACCAGGAGACTGGGTTTCTAACAAGGGCTCTACCACTGACAAGCTACCAGTATAACTTGGTACAATTTATTTCCCTTGTCTGGGGCTCAGTTTCTTCATCTGTAAAATGGAGGGGTCATGCCTCTCCCGCCTGCCTCGCAGAGTTGTTATGATGTTATTGAGCACTCAGATAAGATGATGAATGGGAAAGTGGTCTGGAAATGATGGAGCCTCAGACAAAGTGAGTTGTTAAGCTTTGAATGGGAAAGGAGCCAGTGCTGGAGGGATAAATGAATCACCCAGAATGCTGAAGCTGGAATAGCCTGTGAGAGTTAATCCTCCAACCCCCTGAGGCTTGCTCCAACTGAAATAAATTGGGGAGCGGGGAGGGGGTGTCCTGACCGTTTACATACAAACTTTAGGGGAATGAGACAGCATGGTACTGGGTTTGAGTCATAATTCTATCATGAACTAGTCATGTGACCTTCAACAAGTTACGACCTCTCTCTGATCATTTAGAGGGATTGGACTAAAAATGCTTAAGGTCCCTTACAGTTCTGTGATTCTGTAGAGATTCTTTGCATTAGCCAGCCCAGTGCTTGCCCAAATCTAGCCTGCCAAATCCACCCCTCCCAGAGAGTCTTTGGAAGACCATGGCTTATCTCAAAGGGGTTACTCTAATGGAGGGATATCAGGGCAAAGGGAAATGTCTGATGTAGGGGCAAGATTTTCCCCATAACCACAAAGCACATTGCGTGCACCCAGCCCTGCCCACATTGACCTACCCAGACTCCTCCCTTCTTTGAGGCCTCAGACCGCCTAGGCTACCACATGGGCTCCTACCAGGTTCCCCTCCCTGGAACCTCCCCGAGGGGGCACCAGCTAAGCCTTCTCCTCACCCTGCCACTTCTGAGGAGTCAGGGTTCCACCCCCACCAGCCCTGCCCCACATTCTGCCTCTGTCCTCCAGGGCTCCTGAATTTCTTGGCTCAGGGCAGAGTTAGAGTTTTTCTAGGGCCCCAGGGCAGGGGAGCTCACCTTGGGCCTCGAGGTTGTCACAGAGCTCAGATCTGGCCTCCCCATTGGGGCGGAAGCTCCCCTTCTGTGTGAACTTGTTGGACATGGTGGCAGCAGTGACCACGGCCTTGAGACTTCGTTTGCGCTTGGGCACGTTCTGCTCGGGGTGGAAGAGTATAATATAGACCTTGGGCATGTACAACATCCCCAGAGACACGGAGGCGCTCAGGCTCACTGAGACCGTCAGCGTTGTTGTCTGGATGTAAAGCTGGGGAAGAGGAGGGAGGGGGACAGCGTCAAAGAAGGATTCCAGGGCCTCAGAGTGGACCACCTTTCTCATTCATTAATTCATTCATTAACTCATTCATTCATTTGTTCCAGCTGTTCCTGCTGCTGAACTATACTCCCTCCACCTCCCCCTAAGCTACCTTCAAAGTTTAGCTCAACCTCCTAGAAAAAGTCCATCTTAATCCCACCCCCCCACAAATTACTTAATGTCTACTTTGCATATAGTTTATTGCCTTTTCTGTGTTTGAGTTGTTTCCTCTCAGTAGAGACAAGTTTCTTGAGAGTCAAAGCTATCTTGGTATTGTTCTGTATCCCCTAGTGCCTAGCATACAGCTTGGCATGTAGTAGATATTTCATAAAATGCTTGTTGAATGAAAGAGTCTACAGTGACTGGAACATAGTAGGTACTTAATAAATGCTCATTTAACTTACTGATATAAATTTAGCTAATTCTCAGTCCTAACCCTCATGAAACTTAGAGTCCATTAAATGTATAAGACATAAATGCAGATCATAATACACGATATTATAGGTTAAACACATTTAAAAGGTATGGGGGAAAACCCTGTGTAAAGTATGAGAAGGAAAATCATTACCAAGCCTGGTGGGAGCAGGGGAGAAATCATGGAAGGCTTTATGGAAGAAGGAGCATTTAAGTTATCCTTAAAGAATAGGTTAAGATGAAAAGGGGGGAAGGTAGAACATTCGGGGTACAGGGAACAGGATCAGTGGGAGGGGACAGAGTATCTTTGGGTGACAATGGACCGGTCTAGCTGGAGTGTAGAGGATATGGAGGGGAAGAGCATGAGATGTGGAGGGCCTCGAAAACCAGGAAATCATAACTTCTTATTATTTGACTGGCAATGGAAACTCAGTGTTTGATCAGAGGGGAGACATCAAGAGATCTATGCACAAAGATTATTTTGAGAATGGTATGAAGAATGTATTGAAGTGTACAGAAATATACTCGGTGGTGCAGTAGATACAGTGCCGGGCCTGAAGTCAGGAAGTCCTGAGTACATATCTGGCTTCAGCTACTTACTAGCTGTGTGACCCCGGGCAAGTCACTTAACCTGTTTGCCTCAGTTTCTTCAACAGTAAAATGAAGATAATAACAGTATTTACTTCCCAGAGTTGTTGTGAGGATCAAATGAGATATCGATCTATATAATAACAATAAATATATAATAATACAATGTGTGATGTATAATTTTATAATGTTATTATATAACATGTAATAGTATATATAATATGACATATATTTTATTATATAACATATTATGTTATATTACATGTTATAATTTATAATTTCATAGCATGTGTTTTGTATATGTGTATATATACATATATGTATCTATATGTGTGTATATATGTATATATACATATATACACATACACATATAATCTCATTTGATCTTCAAAACAACCCTGGGAGGTATGGAAATCTATACATTCATATATAATACGTCTAATAAATTTGTATCATATATTATACTATTATAATATATAGTATATGTTACATATAATAGTATACTATGATATAATATACTAATACAGAGATAGATATATGTCTGTCTATCTATATCTTTATATCATACATAATCTTTATTTTACACATATATCCATATAAATGTGTACTTACATATCTACATCTATAAATAGATAGATATAACTATCTACATCTATATATAATCTGGCCAGGGGACCAGAGAAGGGCACACAGAGAGGATGGGGATAACGCTGATCTGAGGGCTAGGCATGGAAGTAGTCTGGGCAGCAGTGAGGGACGATAGTAGGTAGTGTAGGTAGAATTAGTTCCAATTCATTTCAATGGGAATTGATTTATTGATCTCAAATGAGACAATATTTGTACAGTGTTCCGCCCAGAGCTGGCATATAGCAGGCACTTTATAAATGCATCTTCCCTTCCCTCCTGCCCGGAGTGGGAAGAGAGTCAAGGCAAAAAGACCTAACCTATTAAAGGACTATTGCAAGGGCAGGGAGGAGCAGGGCATAAGTAGAGACCTATGGTAGGGTGGTGGCAAGGGAATAAAGAAGAGGAGAAAGATATGAGAAATGTTACAGAGGCAAAACCAACAATGTAACTGATTGAGAATAAGAGGGAAGAGGAAGGCCGACCTGGCCCTCTGCTCTCCACACACACCTCCATTCCCACACCCTGCTTCAGTCTTCTCTGCATCATGGAAGCAGACAGGGACCTAGGGGTAAGCAAGACAGGTAACTGCCTAGGGCACAGCACAAAGGGGAGGATAATGAGACATTTTTCATTCCCCTTTCTATAAATGCACATATTTATAAGGCCAGAAAATGCTGCTCTCCAGGGTTCATAGGTACATATTTGGTTATAAGTCAAGTACCTTGAGACAGCAAGGAACTCAAAGCTTCATACAGACAAGCAATAACACACAATTTTTAAACCTTCTGACCTGGGTCCAATTCTGCACACCTAGCCCAGCCTCCAGCTCAGCGATGCTCCCAATATCTTTGCATGTCTGTTGTCTTTCCTCTTCTTTGGAGGGACAACTACCTTGGGTGGGCTTTGGTTGGGGGTAACCACAGACTGGTGGCAAGGGTTTCCAGGATGAGTCTGATGAGGAATTAGGTTTAGGGGTATTAGGAGGAAAGAGCAAGAGGCTCTAAGGTCTGGGGAGTCAATTCAATTTAATTCAAGTATCTACTGAGGCAGCTAATTTTGGACTTGGAGTCAGGAAGTCCCGAGGTCAAATCTAGCCTCTGACAACTAGATGTGTGTCACATTCCTCCTTCATAAAGCCTTCCCTGACCATCCAAGGCTCCTTCAATTCAGGGACTGTTTTATTTTGGTCATTGTACCCTTAGCTTCAGGCACACACTAGGTGCTTAATAAATGCTAGTCCATGGATCGACTGATACAAGTCCATTGGGATCAAGCCTCCTTATTCAGAATTCCTGCGGGCCTGACTATTTGTACATCTCATTGGGTTACATTAACCCTATATTAACATGTGTTGATAATTCTTTTCATGTGCTTGTGTCTTGTCTTCATGACTAGATGGTGAGCTCCTGAGGGCAGGGACCATGTTTTCTACTTCTCCTCTTCTATTGCACCTCAGCAATATTACCACCACTACCACTACTACTGCTACTACTACTTTTATTGTTGTGGCTGTTCAATCATTTCAATAGTGTCCAATTCTTCATGATCCCATTTGGGATTTTTTTTTTTTGGCAAAGATATTAGAATGGTTTGCCATTTCCTTCTCCAGCTCACTTTACAGATGAGGAACTGAGACAAACAGGGTTAAGTAACTTGCCCCAGGTCACACAGCTAGTAAATGTCTGAGGCCAGATTTGAACTCAAGTCTTCCTGATTCTAGGCCTGCCACGTAGCTATCCCACTACTATCACCATCACAAATAATAGCTTTTATTTAGTGCTTTACAGTTTACAAAGTGTTTAACAAATATTATCTCATTTGATCCTCATAACAACCCTTAAGTGACTTGCCTAAGGTCACACACAGCTAGTATGTGCCAGAGGGCAAAACTTGAACCCAGGTCTTCCTGGCTCTGAGAATAGCCTCTCTACGACGTGCCAGAGAGGTTCAAAAGGGAAGTTCTATGAAGTCTAATTCCACAGGTTAATTAGGATTAGGAATGATTAGATTCCTCTTTCTGCCCCTTCTTGAGTTTAGCATCAGCCCCCAACACTCTCCTGATAGAGCTCTCCTAAATGTCATTAATGACCATGTCCCTGCCAAGTAGAATGCCCAGGAGGCAGTGGGAGGGAAAGTAATACTGACATATGACAGAAAACAATTGAGTAGCATTAGACTGTAAGCTCCTTGAAGGCAGGGATTGTCTTTTGCCCCTTTTTCTATACCCAGCACTTAGCACAGTGACTGATACATAGAAGGCACCTAATAAATATTGATCAATTATTGATTAAGTGCTGGAATGAGGGATGGGAGGACCAAGCAAGAGAATAGGAAGAGAGATAACAGAATATCAACGGCTCTCCTTTCTCTACCAAACAAAATACAAGCCCCTTACTTGGCATTCTGGGCCCTCCAAGGTCTGGCTCCAACCTACCTCACAACATACTCCCTTTTGTATACAGATGGTGTCAGCACAGCTGGACTACTAGCTAGGTGGAACAGTGCATAGATGCTAAGCCTGAAGTCAGGAAGGCCTGAGTTCAAATCTAGCCTCAGACAATTACTAGCTGTGTGATCCTAGGCAAGTCACCTGACCTCTGTCTGCCTCAGTTTCCTCATCTGCAAAATGGGGATAATAATAGCATCTACCTCCCAGGGTTGTTGTGGGGATCAAAAGAGATATAAAGCACTTTACAAACTTTTAAAGTGCTATACAAATGCTGCTATTATTACTACTCCCCACAGTCACTCTACCCTTGCCTTCTTCAGTGTCTTTGGCCATGCCAGCCCCCCACGCCTAGAATGATTTTCCATTCTATCTCCCTCTCCTGATAGTCTTAACATCCTTCAAGGTCCAACCCAGGTGCCATCTCCTCAGTCAGTAATGATCTCTCCCTCTTCAAATCTCCAACCATTCTCTTTGATCTCTCCTGAGCCCTTACTAGCATTCTAAATTATTATATCAGTACATCTCTTACCCCATTGCTGAGAGCTCCCACCTCTGTAGGGCTTTCAAGATTTTACAGAGACCTTTCTCCATAACAACCCTATGAGGTAGGTAGTGTAAGTGTTATCATTGCCATTTTACAGATAAGGAAAATGATCTTTAGGCAGTTAGGTGGTACAGTGGATAGAGTGCCGGGACTGGAGGCAGGAAGACTTGAGTTCAAATCTGGCCTCCAACACTTACTAGCTGTGTGACCCTGGGTAAGTCACTTAACCCAGTTTGCCTCCATTTCCTCATCTGTAAAATGAGCTAGAGAAGGAAATGGCAAACAACTCCACGATCTTTGCCAAGAAAACTCCAAATGGAGTCACAAAGA